GCCAAATATTTTCCCGTACGGCCCTCCCACTCAGTCAATAAGTACATAGCTCGTGCCTGGTCAAACCCACGAAACGTCGTTTTATGATTGAGTCAGATGAAGAAGACCAACTAAGTCTAAAAACGTTGAAATTTGTCCATGAAAATACTTAGAGTTGACATAGACATTCTTGAGTTCCCAAGCTGCTATTTTTTCCCGACTTTTGACCAAATAGCTATTTGTGAAGTGTATTAAAGCAACTTAAAACTTTCAATGTATTAAAAACAATTTTACTTCTTGAAATGTGCCTCGTGTTTACAGTGACTGTTAAATGGCTTCTTTTCAATCAAATAAAAAGGAATTCTCCTATTGGTTCTCATTTACGCGCGCTGTATTTATCAAGCTTAGCAAGATCTTTCAGCCTTTTTTTACGATTAAAATTGGGTCATATGATAAAATGCTTATTGACTGAGTTGGGTCGGGCCGGACGGGAAAATATTTGGCTCGAGGTCATGTCGTACGGACCGAGCGCAGCGAGAATATTTTCCCGTCCGGCCCTCCCACTCAGTCAATAAGTACATATTAGTACTAAAAAATTAACATTTGTTTTACGGGTTTAAAGCGAACACTCTAATCGATGAGTGGACTAATCAGTAAAACTCGCGCCGATATACTTATTTTAATAAAGTTAGTCACCTGAAAAGCTACAAAGCTGAGACCGGCAAGGATTATGGGTAGATACATTTTACATGTTTTAACCGCTTGATATAAACTGTGATGGACTTGAGATCTTTTATCAACTGCTGTAGTTTGTGTCAAACGCTTTACTTGTTGAATATGAAATATTTCCCATGATTCTCAGCGATCACAGCTTGCTAGGTTTTTGGTGACTAACTTTATTGAAATAAGTATATACAAATTATCTAAACTTACAAACGCCTTAGTAATTTCAACGGAGAAGATTCCACCTCCTTAGACACCGCATTAGTCATCTACCTGGACTTAACACGTAACACTAGTAACTGATCGCCTTTGCCACAACAATCCCCACCCCCAGAGAACAATAGACATGTCACTCATTCATCGTTTCATTTCATCATCATTCTAATGAAGGCTATCACTAGTTATAGCCGAAACGTCATGGTTTTTAGAACGTCTACGCGTTTTATCCGTAATGTTACATTTAATTTCAAATGAAGTATTGGATAACAGGATCGTTTTATTGTTCCTGTTTACTCACAGAGGCGTTTCAGGTCTATTGTGAAAATCCCAAATCATTTTTTTCCTCTAGTTTTCGGGCCTAATTTGACTTGTTTTCCGGATCAAGCAAAAACACAGACAGCATGTAAAAAGCACCTTTGTTCTTCCTCCGGTGATGGTAATGATTGGGCTTCCCGTATGAGTGGTGGACTTTGATCTACGGCAAAGCTGATGAACTGAGGGTTTGCTTAGAGATACGAGACTGTTTTGCTTTTCAAGTCAAAACTGTTATCTATTTGATATAGTTTAAATTTAAATTCTATTTTATGAATGTACCCGTTGCGTGGTATCCGCGGTATCCGTGGTATCTGCGTTTTCGCAATATGCCGCAAACCCTTAACCCTTACAGAAACTCCTGTTTATATTCTTCGTTTGCAACCACGTGGTTATTGCTGGTGTCAGAATATTTTTCGGTTCCAATCAAAAAACAATCCTAATGACCATGCACAGCCGCCAATAATGAAACTTTGAGCTAAAAATTGGAGTATTAGAGGATTTCTCAAACGAGCTATGGTCGTTCCGATTTTATAGTGTAAATATATGGCGAAAATTCTCTGGTGGACTAGTTTGGTCCACCAACAATGGAGGCCAAATTTTTTAAAAAAATTTCACGCAGGGAACAATATCAAACTCACTTTAGACATACATAAATCGAACTTAAGACATTTGAAACACTAAAAATGTTTCATTTAGCGGGGTTTTTTCGTTTTTATGACTTTTCAGACCCCTAAGAAGTGTAAGGTGAGAATTACATGAAGAAAATCAAATTTGCACAACTCGGAAACAAAACGGCGAAACGATCTGAAATTTTCTACACTTAGTCACATGTAATTTCAAGGTGCTATTTTCTTGGACTATGACGTCACGTGCAAACGCGAAGAATTCATGACGTCATTTCACTGACTATATAGTTTAACGCCGCGTGGCCCAAGCCAATATCTCTTTCCTACGCTTCACGTATCTACGAGTTAAAAATGATCCCTAGAAGCCTTTTATTTTTCATTCTTCTAAGGGTCCACATAAAATCAGGAGCATGTGAGTATCTTTGGTGGTTTTGGTTTCGTAGACGACTGATTTTATTCTATAATTCCTGGGCCATGTTGTTCAAAACCCCGATTAACGCTAAACCTGGATTAAATCTACGATGGCCGAGAAGGGACTTCAGACTTCAGACTTATGGTCAATCAAACCACGTGTCATTTCGTATTAACTTTGTATAGAAATCAAGCAATATGGCCGAAAAGGTAGGTGTGAGTATAAAGAAATGAGGGTTTTTATCCCTTTACTACAATAGTTTTCCATCGATGTTTTATATTTTATTGCTAAATAATTATTCAAAATGAATTTATACGACTTTGGGAATACAATTTCCTCCTTTTGACCCCGTTTAATATGGCCGAATGGCTCGGACACTGGTAATACAACAGTAGTGTATAGGGTAGGGGGCATGTCTCATTTTGTGTATTAGGGTTGCGTTTTTGTCACAAGAATTGGAATAAAGGAAGGAAATGACGTCACCGGACCGGAAGTGGGGAGACTAGCCAGACAAAGGAAACCAGACAGTGTTAGGTTACATGAAGTATTTTATTTTTTGACAAAAGAAAAAGAGAAGATCGGCATCGTTGTATTCGGAGGTTTCTTTGCACATCGTATTGTTTTATCTGTAGGTAGATCGTACAAGAGGAAGAATTCAAGAAGTGGAACATCAAAAAAGTAAGAAGATCGAGAAGAAAAA